GATTGATTGGAACAAGGCAGGACGGTGTCGTCAGTCATTATCTGTGGTCATTCGATCTGGCGCCACACGCTTTTTCGCAAGTCTATCTCAATGAACCATTAGGTGGGTTGGTTTGCGTGGGTTGAGCTGATTCGAATGCCGTGAGAGGTGACAATATTATGGAGGTTTAAATTTATACACTCGAGTTTCGCTAACAACCCTACACGTGGTTCTGGGTAAACGGTACCGTAGTTTGCGTTATTAAATAGATAACCAACAAACTGAGCAAAACTCAACACACCTCTATCTTCTTTATTATATACGGGGGGACCATAAATTGCATAACATAATATACAGAATATATTTGCAAAAATGTAGACGTTACAGTTTCTTAAGCACATTGTTTATGTGCTCTCAGTTGCAACAGGTGCGTACCTATACTAGTGTAAAGAGTTTCGTGGCATACTGCGATGTCATTAGGTTCCGTTTGTGATCGAGATACTGCTCGTGGTTTTCACGATCGTTCTTGTTTATTTTCCCATCAGGGAGTCGTAACGGTTATCGAAAAAAAGTTATATCCAGGTTTCGACTTCCATACCCATGATCACATTATCATTGTAATGTACATAAGGTGAATTTAGATGTACGGAACTCAGACGATTGTGCAGTGATAATCACAGCGGGGACACACATCTTGTAATTGACATCTGTGGCTCATTAATCCTCTATTCCCCCTTACTGTTTGTTATAAATACGTAACTGATAGTCATTGTAACTCTCTTCACGTCATGCACATTTACACGGTTTGGTCGAACCAAATGAAATATTGTGCCTAAACTTTTGCTTGTTCAATTCAATGTGTTGTGGATAAAATTGAACAGTGATTGCAACGTTTGATTCGTAGAATTAACATATTGGCATAAGTTTTTTTACCAAAATCAAATATGATGTTCACTCTGAAAGTATCTGAAGATTGTGAAGGGTGAGCCTACATATTTCTTAAAAATAAAAACACCACCAATACAAGATAAAGTTATGATAACTACTGTGTGTTCACACCGAGAAATCCTTGGGACCTGTGATGTGTTTACATATGCATTGATCAGCCAGATACTATTGCCTTCGTTTACAGATTCAGGTCACTTCTACGATTGTTTGGATATGTGCCACGTGCCAGTAGTTCCTTCATGTGTCCTTCGTTAACCTGACGACGTGCTCTGTACATTTGTGTATGAAGGCGTGTCAGTTGATCTCTGTTTTACTCCTGTATGACCCCAAATTGCTTTGAACGTTCATGCTGTCTTAGTCAATACTTTTCAAATTAGTTAGGTTAACAGTCAGTTCATTCATTTTAACTGGGGTTCCAAGGTTAATTAGATGGATTTTGAGAGCTGACGTGTATGAGTTTGGCAGGCTGAACGTGCGTATCTTACAACCCCACAACTGTACACTTTTATTGAATACAGTAAGTCGTTCTGTTGGTTTCCACCAAGACGCATAGAAGATATCAGTACATTTTACTCACTATACAATACAGCACAACTCAACATTTACACGATGGAATGACGCAGATCTCGTAGTCAACACTCTCCGTTTCGCAGACCACACGTTGGTGATGGGAAACAGTCCACCGCCAAATAAAGAGACAAACTTTTACGGCTTCTAGTTGACGGAATAAAAACGATATTCCTGTTTGAAACATGAATAGGCATTCTATGGAGGTTTGCTAAAAATCGGAACGACTGCCGTCAAATACGGACGAATCGTGACATAAATAGAATTCAATTGAACTAAACAACCTTGATGAGAATTTTCGGAATTTTCCTCCCTGGAGTACATTAAATCACCTGTATCAGCTTGTTCCGCTGGCAAATTTGTCTCTACAGATGCAACAATACATAGTCATTTCAAAGTTATTCATGGTAACCTCCAATATATTGTATATTCAGGACTGGAACTCCGGCCACGCTATTCATATGGCAACCGTGCCATTGACCTCACATAAAGCACAACCGAATTATCATATGTGAACGCTAACCCTCGTTCGCTTGTAAGTAACTATCAGGTTGCCCGATCGTCTTGAAAGAAGATACGATTAGTGTCTGTTGACTCCCATCGATAACTCCGCGATTAGGACTTCACTCTATGTTGAAATCACAGAAATCATTGAATCGTTGAGCGGTATTTGAATACTGATGATTAGTAGGGGATTTTGATTTTCATATAAACTGAACATCA